CCGGGCATTGAGGCTGCTGCTCTAGGTGCTGGTAAGGCGGCTACTCTAGGTGCTAGTGCGTCTGCTGCCCCAGGTGCTGGTGAGTCTGCTCTGTCAGGTACCACGTCGGCTCAGGCCTTACACACCTTCACCCTTGACTCGGGTGCTTCCCACTCCTTCTTTCGAGACCGCACCACACTTACGCCGCTTAGTCGGCCGGTGGCGGTCTCCCTGGCGGACCCCTCTGGGGGTCCTGTCCTTGCTAGCTTCTCCACTGTCTTACCATGTCCGGCAGCCCCCTCCGGCACCCTGTCAGGTCTGTACCTCCCCTTGCTCCCTACGAACTTGGTAAGTGGTGCTGATCTACAGGATCGGGGGGTGGACCAGTTCACTCCTGCGAGTCAGCGGGTGACCCACTGTGCGTGTGCTCGGACGGGCCGACACTTGGCCACGTTTACCCGTCGGCCGGGGTCGAGCCTGTACACACTGACTACTGAGTCTCCTCCGGTTGCTGCGCCTGGTCCGGTAGCTGCGTCGAGTCAGGTGTCTACTACAGCGTCCAGGTCTGGTCCTGAGTCTGCTCCCTGCTCGTGCCCTCTCCTGTCCCACCAGACTCTCTTTTGGCACCACCGCCTTGGCCACCCCTCCCTGCCTCGTCTCCGAGGCATGGCCTCCCGTGTCCTTGTCTCTGGTCTCCCCCGGTCCCTCCCTCCCCTCCCTCCGGAACCTGCCCCTACCTGCGTTCCCTGCGTCGAGGGGCGGCAGCGCGCCGCCCCTCATTCCTCCAAGTTTCCTCTGACAGAGGCTCCTCTGCAGACTCTTCACATGGACGTGTGGGGCCCTGCCCGCGTCCGTGGCCAGGGTAACGAGTGTTACTTCCTGTTGGTGGTTGACGACTACTCACGTTACACCACAGTGTTCCCCTTGCGCAGCAAGGGTGACGTCACTGAGGTGTTGATCGACTGGATCCGCACAGCTCGTCTCCAGCTCAGAGAGAGTTCCGGCTCGGACTTTCCTGTTCTGCGTCGGCACTCTGACAGAGGCGAGGAGTTTTCTTCTGCCCGTCTAGGAGCCTTCTGTCGTGCACAGGGCATCCGCCAGACCTTCACGCTTGCGGCCTCTCCACAGCAAAATGGGATTGCTGAGCGCCGCATTGGCATGGTCATGGACGTCGCTCGTACGTCCATGATCCATGCGGCTGCCCCCCATTTTCTGTGGCCGTTTGCAGTTCAGTACGCAGCGCATCAGCTCAACCTTCAGCCCCAGGTCTCCTTGCCAGAGACCTCCCCCACCTTGCGGTGGACGGGGAAGGTTGGCGATGCGTCTGCGTTTCGGGTCTGAGAATCTTGGGCGTTTGTCCGCGACTTGTCTGCGGACAAGCTGTCCCCGCGTGCTGTTCCCTACGTCTTCCTTGGCTTCCTCCCTGACGCGCCTGGTTGGCAGTTTTACCACCCCACCTCGCGCCGTGTTCTGTCCTCCCAGGACGTCACCTTTGACAAGTCGGTGCCTTACTACCGTCTCTTCCCCTACCGCACTGCGCCCCTCCCCCCGCCGCCGCTCTTCCTTGCGCCGGGTCCTCCCCCGGTAGACCCCCTCCCCCCTTAGGGTCCTGCCCCGTCAGGTGTGTCCCAGGTAGACGCAGTCGAGCCTGTCGAGGTAGCTGTTGACTCTGGTGCTGCTAGGGTTGCTGAGCCTGTGGGTGCTGAGTTTGGGGGTGCTGAGTCTGGGGGTGCGGAGCCTGGGGGTGTTGAGCCTGGGGGTGCTGAGTCTGGGGGTGCTGAGCCTTAGGGTGCTGAGTCTGGGGGTGCTGAGCCTGGGGGTGCTGAGCCTGGGGGTGCTGAGCCCGGGGGTGCTGAGCCTGGGGGTGCTAGGTCTGATTCGTCGAGGCGGGAGCTACTCTCTCCGTAGGAGCCTCGCGAGTGGTTTGCCCGCCGCTGGAGCCGTGCTGCTGGAGCTGGAGGTACTACTGTTGCTGCTGGTCCTGGAGGTGCTCGTACTGGTGGTACTGGAGCTGCTGGGACTGGGGGTGCTGCTGGGGCTGCTGGAGTTAGTCCTGCTGGAGGTACTACTAGAGCTGCTGGCGCTGCTGGAGCTGACAGTCCTACTGGAGTTCGTGCTGCTGGAGCTGCTGGAGCTGGAGCTGCTGGGGGTGTTGGCGCTGGTGGTTCTGCTGGCGCTGGTGCTTCTGAGGGTGCTAGAGTTGGCGCTGTTGGAGCTGGAGGTGCTGCTGGCGCTGGTGCTGCCTTTGGGGGTACTGGTGCTGTCCCTACTGTTTCTAGAGGTGCTGCGCGGCCGAGGCCGTACTTCGTTCCGCTCCTTGAGCAGGTTCTTGGTCTCCCACCCTCTACTGGTCCTGCTCCTCCCTTAGAGTGTCCACAGCCTGTCCAGTCGCGGTCACAGTTGCAGCCTGCCTCCCCCCTACCTGCTCCTTCTCCCTACACGGGTCCTACTGGAGGTCTTGCTGAGCATCGTGAGCCTGCCTCTCGTCTTGCGTCACCTGTTCGTGCTGCTCGCACTAGTAGTCGTGCTCCGCGTCTGTTCCTCCTGCGGTCCCCGGCACACACCAGATGGCACTGCGTCCTTCCACTGCTCCTCTGCGTGTCCCGTTGCCGTCTCCTCCAGAGTCCTCTCTTCCTACTCTTGCTGACCCGGAGTCTGACTCTCTTCGTGCTGCCAGTCCTACTGTCATGCGCCTCCTGGCTACTGTTGTCAATGACCCTTCCTTTGAGTCCACTGCTGCGTCTACCTTGGTTGCTGAGCTTGTCGACTTTGCTGCTCGTTGTCGTCTAGACTACGCTGCTAGTCTTGTTGCTGAGTCTGAGTCTGTCTGTCCTCCGTCCGTCGGGGGTGAGTGTGCTCTTAGCACGGACGTCCTTGAGGACAGGCAGGAGGAGTTCCAGTGTTTTGCTACTGCTTTGCCTCATCTCGTGTCCACGCTGATTGCCCCTGAGGGAGACCCGGATGCACCAGACATCCCGACTCCTCGATCGTACGCTGAGGCGATCGAGGGTCCCTACTCCTCACAGTGGCAGTCAGCCATGGACGCAGAGATGGCTTCCTGGAAGTCCACAGGCACCTACGTCGACGAGGTTCCCCCACCTGGGGCGAACATCGTCAGTGGCATGTGGATTTTCAGGGTGAAGCGGCCGCCGAGTTCTCCGCCTGTTTTCAAGGCGCGTTACGTGGCTCGAGGCTTCAGTCAGCGGCAGGGAGTTGACTACTTTCAGACCTTCTCTCCCACCTCGAAGATGACCACTCTTCGGGTGCTGCTGCACATTGCCGCTCAGCGCGACTACGAGCTTCACTCTTTTGACTCTAGCACAGCTTTCCTGCAGGGCAGCCTGCACGAGGAGATCTGGCAGCGCCGCCCACCTGGCTTCACTGGGTCGTTTCCTCCTGGCACACAGTGGAGCCTCCGGCGGCCAGTCTACGGTCTCCGCCAGGCGCCGCGTGAGTGGCACGACACACTGAGGACTACACTTGCGGCTCTTGGGTTTGCTCCGCCTACTGCCGACCCGTCGCTGTTTCTGCGCACCGACACCTCTTTGCCGTTGTTCTACATCCTCGTGTACGTCGACGACTTGGTCTTTGCCACTGCTGATACTGCTGGACTCGCCCACGTGAATTCCGAGCTGCAGAAGAGACACACGTGCACAGACCTAGGTGAACTGCGCAGCTACCTTGGCTTGCAGATCACCCGGGACAGAGCACAGCGCACCATTACCCTGACTCAGTCACACATGGTGCAGCAGATCCTTCAGCGCTTCGACTTCACGTACTCCTCGCCTCAGGCCACTCCTCTGTCTACTCGCCACTCGCTCTCACCTCTGCCTTCGGATGAGTCCGTAGAGCCGAGTGGCCCGTACCCAGAGCTTGTGGGCTGCCTCATGTACCTGATGACCTGCACACGACCTGACCTAGCATACCCTCTTAGCATCTTGGCACGCTATGTTGCTCCTGGGAGACACCGACCAGAGCACATGGCTGCAGCGAAGAGGGTGTTGCGCTACTTGTGCAGACGTCGAGCATGGGGCTAGTGCTTGGAGGGCGACGTCCAGTGGTCCTCACATGTCACGCAGACGCTTTTTGGGCTGACGACCAGGCTACGCAGCGGTCGTCACAGGGTTACACCTTCAGCCTTGGCTCCGGCTCTGTTTCGTGGCGGTCTACCCGCTCGTCTTCTGTTCTTGGCTCCAGCTGTGAGGCTGAGATCTACGCGGGGGCCATGGCTGCACAGGAGCTACGCTGGCTCACCTACCTGCTGAGTGACCTAGGAGAGCCGCCTTGTTCTCCTCCAGCTCTGTACGTAGACAACAAGGCCATGCTGGCCTTGTGTCGGGAGCACAGACTGGAGCACAGAACGAAGCACATTGCTCTTCGCTACTTCCTTGCTCGTGAGCTGCAGCAGCGTGGTTAGTTGCGCCTTGCTTACGTGGCCTCTGAGGCCAACACTGCTGATATCTTTACCAAGGCACTTCCGCCTTGTGATCATCAGCGCTTCTGTACGATGCTAGGTCTTGTGCCTACTTGGCCTCACATGCTCACTTCTTGACCTTGCTTGTACTGTGATCTTTCTATACCTGCACTTGCTTGTTTACCTTATATATGATCTTGCATGTGAAATGGCCTTGTGGCCTTGCTCTTGTGCTCGGACTGAATGGTGACGTTTTGATACACCCTGAGCTTGCTTTTCTTTGCTTGACTGGTCTTGTGACCTCTTGTTCTCCCCCACTTTGCCTATGGGGGTGTGTCAAACTCATATGCTATAGTCTGTGTAGGTTGTAGTGGGGTAGACAATCTGGGGTACAATACTTTAGGTTTTCCTACTTGTACCCACCTGCTTGCTAGTTCATTCATTCCTTCCTCATTTCTTCACATGGACCTCTTTGCTCTGGGTTACGCTGCTTCTGACACCATCACGACGCTTTTCAGAATAGTCAAGAACTACGACATGCCAGCGTTTCTGAAGCTGGATTTTATACGAGTGAGTCGCCTCTCTTTTGCAAGTGCAAGGTGGGTAGATGGGTGCACAGGGCGTCAGAGGGCTGCACCTCTTTGCTCTGGGTTACGCTGCTTCTGACACTATCATGACGCTCTTCAGAATAGTCAAGAACTACGACATGCCAGAGTTTCTGAAGCTGGAGTTTATACGAGTGAGTCGCCTCTCTTTTGCCAGTGCAAGGTGGGCAGATGGGTGCACAGGGCGTCAGAGGGCTGGACCTCTTTGCTCTGGGTTACGCTGCTTCTGACACCATCACGACGCTCTTCAGAATAGTCAAGAACTATGACATGCCAGAGTTTCTGAATCTGGAGTTTATACGAGTGAGTCGCCTCTCTTTTGCCAGTGCAAGGTGCGCAGATGGGTGCACAGGGGCTCAAAAGGGTGCACAGGGGATCAGGGAGGGCTGAAATCTCTTTGTTCTGGGCTACGCTGCGTCTGACATCATCACAACACTCTTCAGAATAGTCAAGAACTACGACATGCCCGAGTTTCTGAAGCTGGAGTTCATCAGGGTGAGTCGCCAATTGGGTGCAAAGGGGTGCAGATGGGTGCACAGAAGAGGGGATCGGGAGGGGGTGGATCTCTTTGCTCTGGGCTATGCTGCTTCTGACATCATCACGACACTCTTCAGAATAGTCAAGAACTATGACATGCCCGAAGTATCGCTTGAGACCCTGACATCTTATCTCCATGCCTACCCGTACATACCTGCCCTTTCCTTGTTGCAGGAGGTTGGGTTCTTTCACATGCGGATAGCAGACGGAGTGGGTTGAGTCATGAGTTAATTTCCTTGTCTCTCCCTGTCCTCTCTCGTGTTGCAGGAGGTTGGGTTCTGTCACATGAGGATAGCAGACGGAGTGGGGTCGGTGCTACAACTATCGGGCTTAATGGCCAAGCTCTGCAAGATAGCCAGAAACGCAGCTCCTAAGTAGATGAATTGCCACTCACTGGTGTGTGTAGGCACAGCACCACAAGCTTGCTGCTGATCGGTGCTGCAAATATCAGGCTTGATAGCCGAGCTGGGCAAATTAACCAGAAACGTTGCTCCGAAGTAGGGCCATATTTGTTGATGAATTTGCATATAGAGTTGTAGATGACCGTAAGAGAACTTTCAATGCAATGCGACTAATCAAGCTCCACAGTGGTCTGAAGGCCTGATTTCCTTGACTCTCTCTCTGAGGCTAGCTCATCTCCCCCTGAACGTTGTCCCCACAAACGCCCATCATACCGTTTTCTAGATATTGGTGGTACAGATAAGGTTGCGTTACACAGTCCGCTATAACAGATAAGGTGTACATAAACAATCACTTACTAAGAATTCTTCCAGCAAGTTCAGTCACAGCAATCGCACCATCACTCGGATTCGCGTCCATCGCGCCGTCGCATGCGTGAGATGCAAGGATCAGTGTCCCGCGGGATGGCGAAACCTGAATCGCGGAATTCTGGGTTCGCAAACCACTGAACCAGTCTTTCGTAATGTAATTTCGTCAGTTTGATAACCAGTCACGATTCGCGAAAGGCTCTCAATTCTCACCGCAATTATTCGCAGCAAATTTGATTGCGAGGTGAGCCCACAAAAAATCAACACAATCATCAGTTGGAAAACTCGTGCGATTCGGGCTGCAAAACTCCACACGCCAGTTTACAGCAAAACCAAACCCGCGACTCACGGCAGCTACCTCACGAAGCACAAGTCCCGTAGAATAAGTAGAAGCTAGCCATGCCGTTTCAGTTCATCACAAGTTCCAATCATCTTCACCTTCTCATCTTAAAACTACATCGTACCAGCTAGAACGGTTCAGCGTTGCCCGCTACAAACAGAAGCGAAAATGACTCTGGCTAAGACCACTTTCCTTGTCGTCGTCATCGCGTCTGCGATGCTCCTTTCCGCCCCTGCGCGCGTCTCTGCCGCTGCGGCTCCAGGCAACGCGACTGCGCCTGCTACTTCTGCTAAAGCGGCTGCCGCGCCTGCTAACGCGACTAAATCTGGAAATGCTACAAAAGTCGCTAACAGCGCGCATGGAGTGGCTACGGCGAGGCTGAGCAAGGGCGCGGGCGAGGGAAAGAACTCCACATGCGCCTACTACGGAAAATACAACGCCAACCCTTACTTCGGCAAGGGACTCACCGCGAAGATTCCTGACGCGCTCTTCAGCAAGCGATGCGGCGCGTGCTTCAAGGTGATCTGCAGCAACGACACGAAGCGCTGCCGCAGCGGCAAGGCCACCGTCACCGTCCGCGTCGTCGGCGCCACCAAGACGGAGGGGAAGCAGATTTCGCTCTCCGCCGTCTCATGGGCGAAAATCGTGCAGGGTTCGGAAACTGCCCCTGTGAACATCACGTACAAGCGCACCAACTGCGTTTCCACCGCCGGATCGGCGGTGCGCGTGCGCAGCAACTCCACCGCGGAGCATTTTAACATTCAGATGGTCGGCCTTGCCGGGCCCGGCACGCTTACCGAGGTAGAGCTTAGCGCGGACGGCAAAAAGTGGGTGAAGCTGACCCGCGACGGAAACAAGGCGATTTGGGGGATCAAGGGCAAGGAGGCGAAGGCGGTTGTGGGCGCGAAGAAGGCTATGAGCGTTCGCCTCACTGCGGGACACACCAGGGAGAAGATCACCCTCGCGAATGTCATTCCCACCGCCTGGAAGCCTCAAACGCTCTACTCGTCCAAGACCAACTTCAAGAAACTCATGGCTGAGGCCAAGTAGGCAAGTGGTAGGCGTGGGTTTCGAGGCGTGGGTTTCTAGGCGTGGGTTATGGAGGCGTGGGTTTTGGAGGCGCCTTAGAAGAAACCCGCGACGGTGTATTCGTCCAAGACCAACTTCAAAGAAGCTCATGGCTGAGGCTAGGAAAACGTTAACTGTGCGCTCAAGGCGGTTGAAGAAAAATCTAGGTGCCACCTCAATCCTCTGCGCTCGTCCAAGGCTAACTTCAAGAAGCTTATTGTAAGACCAAGTAGGCCTGGTGCGAAGAATATTTGCGGACTCGTCCAAGTCAGGGCGAAGTGGGTTAGGGGGAAGGGGAGGGGATAGGTTAGTGGGGGAGTGGGATTGAGGGTGGGGAGTGCGATGATGCAAAAGGGCTTTTGTATGCACATGATTTTTGAGTCAACAATTTGATTTGCTTGAGTTCCAGACTCGTCCAAACTTCTCTGCTGTGCAGAGTACAACGGAATACAACAGGGTTTAGGTCCCCTGCTGCTTCCACCACTGAAACCAGCAGCAGTGTTTTTCAGTGAAACCAGCGCCACCTGCACCACCCTTTCTCCCCACCACCGACCTCCCTTGCAGGCTACCAAAAACCACTACCGTACCTTATTCTCAACACTGGTTACCACTGGTTACCAGTATTTCCGGCGATTCCACCACCAGGACCACCACCGTCACTAGCCTCACCAGTAACTCCAATAATTCCATCAACTACAGAACCAGAACTGTCAGTGTTACGCCTGCTGCGGCTCCCACTATCCCTACTCCCATCCCAAACTGCTATTGCTGCTGCTGCCGGCGCCGGCGCCGCCACCGCCACTGTTGCTGCGGCTGCTGCTGCAGGCACCATCAAAACCAGAATCACCTGCCGCGGCATTGTGTGACACAGCATCACCTGGCTCCTCCTAGCTCTCTCATTTCAGCACTGTTGCTGAAATGTTCTCACCCCTGCCGCTGCTGCCGCCGCCGCCGCCGCCGCTGCTCCTCCTGCCACCATCGAAACCAGAATGACCTGCCATGGCATTAAGTGACACAGCATCACCTGGCTCCTCCTAGCTCTCTCATTTCAGCACTGTTGCTGAAATGTTCTCACCCCTGCCGCTGCTGCCGCCGCCGCCGCCGCCGCCGCCGCCGCTGCTGCTGCTCCTGCCACCATCGAAACCAGAATCACCTGCCATGGCATTGAGTGACACAGCATCACCTGGCTCCTCCTAGCTCTCTCATTTCAGCACTGTTGCTGAAATGTTCTCACCCCTGCCGCTGCTGCCGCCGCCGCCGCCGCCGCCGCTGCTGCTGTTGCTCCTGCCACCATCGAAACCAGAATGACCTGCCATGGCATTGTGTGACACAGCAGTAGCCTGGCTCCTCCTATCCCACTCTTTTCAACACTGTCGTTGAAAATGTTCACACCACTGCTGCTGCTGCTGCTGCTTTGACCACCTACGGCCACGGCCCACCATAAACACCTTCCCCAGCAGCATTACCTGCACGAGTACCAGCCTCCCCCTCGACCTCACTGAAGTTCTCTCTTTGTTTTACAGAGGATTGCATTGAAGGAACAGCCTCCCTCTGATGCTTCGCCCCTGGATGCTCCTCCCTCGGATGCTCCTCCCCCGAATGCTCCTCCCTCGGATGCTCCTCCCCCGAATGCTCCTCCCTCGGATGCCCCTCCCCCGAATGCTCCTCCCTCGAATGCTCCTCCCCCGAATGCTCCTCCCTCGGATGCTCCTCCCCCAGGTGCTCCTCCCCGGGTGCTCCTCCCTTAGATACTCTTACTATCACTGCCCATGTTATCTACTTCTGTCACCACCACTGCTGCTGTTGCTAATGTTGCTTCCACCTGCGGAGAATAGGCGATTCTGGGAGAGCCTAGGCGCAGAGTTGCAAAGCGGATGGTTGTAAACCGAATACTGATTTGTGGAAACCGAATACTGATGCCAATCTTGGTATGCAATAATTGAAGGAACGGAATTGATTAAATAATGAAATTGATATATTACAACAGAAACAACATGAACCTTATAGAGAAGCATAGTGACGTGTGCAAGAACGTTCTACGAGAACGTTGTTCACGAAGAACGTTGTTCAAGGAGAACGTGCAAGCACCTACTCTAGAATGCGGTTCCAGGTTGGCACCGCCAGGTGAAAATACCATCAGGTGAAAATACCGTCAACAATATTTCTACCTGCCCAGGAGTAGTTGCGCAGGTTCTTGCAACACTGACAGCTGCACATACGCGTTTGTGCAATGTCGTCACTTCCCTGGTCCAATGTTGAAATGTGCATACCGAAGCGCACATATTGGAGTGTACTTGGCGAATACCGCAATACTGGTAAAACCGGTACGCGGTATGCAAAGTCTCGCTGCTCCGCATAGGGCCGCTACACGCAAAACCAGGCACGTGCAAGGCTTCGCCTTAACACTCCCCTGCCCTGCTCGTGCCTGGGCAACTGAGGAGTTAGCACACCACACAAAGCGAAAGGAAATAATAGAGTACAACAGGGTGACGATCCTGATACTCGTCCGCGTGTTTTCCGCACACGCATACTCATCGCACCAGCCATGTTGAAGGACATGGCACCTATTCCTGCTCGTTGTCACGCTCGTCGTCTGCAAGATCAACTTGCCCAATGGCGACAGAGCAGCGCTTGAATGCCGGGGAACGTAGTGCCTTCGTGAGATAGTCCGCGGGTTGCTCGCTCGTCGGGATGTACGTAAGCGCGATTTTCTTGCGCTTCACCATCTGCTGCAGCCATATGTACCGCCTCTCCATGTGCTTGAGACTCCCCTTGAGCCCCAACCCTTCCGCAACCGCAATTGCATGTGAGTTGTCCACGTGGATGACAGTCGGCACCCCAGCATCTAGAAAGTGCAAACGGTGCGCCTCCTTCCCGGCCTCCATTGTAGCAATGTATTCGGATTCCGTTGAGGACAACGTCATGCACTTAATCCTCTGACTTGCCCACGAAAGTGCAGCTCCGCCAAGAACAAAAACGTATCCGCTGGTACTGCTGCGCGTCTGCCGGTCACACGCATCATCGGAATCCGCATACCCCACCAGGTGCAGAGTATCCAGACCACCACCGAACTCGAGGGCGAAATCGCGGGTGTCCACCACGTAGTCAATGCAGCGGTCCAGCTCCCTCCAGTGCTGGTCAGTGCGAATCGTCAACCCCGAGCCCAACTTGCTGCATGCGTATGCGATGTCGGGACGGGTCGTATTTGTGGCAAACTGGAGCGAACCCACTTTCTGATGATACTCTTCCTCTTCACGCGCTTGGTATTCTTCGTCGTCAAATGTCAACTCGGTGTACGCGTCGACCGAGATAGGCGTTTTTGGGCAGCGACCTGTCTGCTCTTCGTCCACAAGCGGCGACGCAGCTTGTCCACGTATGCGCTTTGGTGCAGCCACAGCTTGCGCGCAGACCTGTCCCTTACTATCTCCAGACCCAAATACTTCTGCACGGGATTGATTTCCCGTAGCTCGAATGCGTTTTGCAGAAGCTCACGGAGGTCCTTCAGCATCTCGAGGCTGCTACTTGCGGCGAGCAAATCGTCAACGTACACCAGCAGCCAGCAACTGACGCCATCAGCACCAAACTTGAAGTAGAGCGCTTCGTCAACCTGACTCTTGCTCCACCCGCCGCCAATGAGTATGCTGTCGAGCGCCGAATACCACAGCAGTGGACTCTGTGTGAGTCCGTACAAGCTCTTCAGAAGCTTGCACATGCGAGATGTACCGTCGTTGAAGTACGCCGCCTGCTCCATGTACAGAACCCGGTCCAATTTGCTCTGCAGGTATGCGTTTTTCATGTCCAACTGCATGACGTGCAGATCGAGTACCGCGACGATGGAGAGGAAAATGCGCAGTGTAATGTAGCTGCCAACCGGGGAATACGTCTCATCATCCGCGCCATAAATCTGCGTAAATCCCTTCACGACGAGCCGTGCCTTCTCGCGAGCGACCGTGTCGTCGGCGTTGTACTTTGTCGTAAGAACCCACCGGTTCTTCATGACATTGACGCCGCGCGGTCGAGGCACCAACTCCCATGTTCCGTTGGCAAGGAGGCTACGCATCTCCTCATCCATTGCCGCTTTCACCGCCTTCCCCTTCTAGCTTGCAACCGCTTCCTTGACGGTCATCGTTCCAATCGTTCAGGATCAGCGTGCACATTGGGATCCAGTTCTGGCAGCGTGGTATCCGCATTTGCGTCATCGAGAAGCGTGTTAGCGAATACCGGGCACACGTCGGCCCATTTCTTTGGAGGCACACCAAAGTTGGAGCGGGTGGAATGCCGTGTTGGCGGCTTGATTTCCACCACATCGCTCGAAGAACTTGTCAGAATCCCAACCACTAGACCATTGGGATAAAAGGGCTTATCAAGTAGCGGATCAGTGTGCCCATAACCCTCCATGCCAACGTGCCTGTAACCCTTCACTAGGATCAATCGGGAATCTCCAGTGGACCCCTGACACCCCCCCGCACTGGGATGCCTGAAGTGCACACACTGAGATTCGAAACCGAGATCTTCGCTCTGATACCATGTCAGAATCCCAACCACTAGACCATTGGGATAAAAGGGCTTGTTACGTAGCGGATGAGTGTGCCCATAACCCTCCAGGCCAATGTGCGTGTAACCCTTCACTAGGATCAATCGGGGATCTCCAGTGGACCCCTGACAGAACTGTCTCCAAACGACTCCCCTGCAGCTTCGCCGATGACCTCCACAACGTCGCTCGACGTGCTGCCGCTGATCTGCTCCCCTGTCAACTGCTCCCCTGCCGGTTTCTGCATACTAGGCGCCGGTTTCTGCAGGCGCCGATTTCTGCATACCGGGTGCGCCATCCTTAGAAGATGCGGCAGGTCGACCGTCGACGATGCCGATGCGTTGCGCCGAAGGTAGCGCGTCATGTCTCCCCTCATCGTTGTCGGCCGACTTGGACGGGGTGGCGGCGGTGGGAGTTAGGCTTTCTGCAGCTGGCAGCGGAGAGGAGAGGA